TGAAGAACTAACTGTAGTTACAACGTGCCAAATGATTCTGTGAATGAGTAACTGTTACTTTACTGGGATTTTATCACTTTTGCAGTGGGCAGGACCTGGGATGGATAGGGTTATTGCTGGGTATTAACAGAGGACCCTGAGTAAAATTTGTACACACCTTTACAAGCGTTGCTGGCAGGAGCTAGAAGTCATTTTCAGATAATTTTGTACAGAGAGAGAGAAAAAAATTAAGTCTTGGGGACTGTAGCCAAGGTATGAGGAAACTCAGAGCTGAGAGCAGCCAGCCAGAACTGCTGAGCCTGCGTCTGTTGGTGAGGGAAGGTGAGCAGGACTACGGTCCCAAAATGTTGGCAGTGGCTCACCAGCTTCTAGGAGATGGCTTTGTGCCACCCAGGTGCCTTACTGTGCGGGGATCTGCAGTGCCACCACTCAGTTTATCTTCTGCTCTTTTGTGGTAGGAACCCAAGTACGTTACGGTAACTGCGCCGCTGGAGGACAAAATCTCTCTAGTTGTATGGGTGAGAATAGCTGTGGTTTTAAGTTCCAGATAGTGTCTTATTCCAGGCAGGTCAATCTAGGTGCATTTCCCAGGCAGAACGTGTTGCAGGCCGTGGTTGCTGTAAACACTAGAATGGCATTGCTCTTGGTTTGAATGCGTCTGGCTTCCTGATCGGTGAAGTAGCAAGGAAGCTTGGCTAAGGAAAAAACCTGTCTTATTGATGATTCCCTCTTTGTCCATTGCTGGCAATGGACTTTGTGAAACTCCTTGTGCCAGAGTTAAGGTGGGAGCTTTTCTTTCTTTCTTTTTTCTTCTTTTTTTTTTGTTTTTAATCTTTTTTTTTCTTTGATGGCACAGTCTAGACAGTAAGATAAGTATAACTTGTGATAAATCTAGAATTTTTTAAATAGAAAAAAAAAAAACAAACGTGAGATCATAAGTAATTTTAACTTATTAGTTCACTTTTATTGATGAATGAGAACGGTTTTAAACTTGTATTATGAAAATTGTCCAATTTAGTCTACTTAGGAGGTGGTTTCCAAGCTTACAGTCATCCTAGCAAACAAGACTTAGCCCGGCCCCAGAGTTACAAAACATATCTTGATGCTTGCTGGAATGGTGTTAGCTCTGAGTTGAGGAGTGCTGCAAGGTGGGGTCAGAGATGAGCTGGGAGAAGGGGAGAACCATGAGGGGGTTGCTGTGCTCTGCTTTTGTGTGTCTGGGGGTTTCTCTGCCAATGTCAGCTGCGTGTCTGCGAAACAAGGATGCGAGCCGTGCTTTTTTCCCCTGAATGGAGACGAGCATTTGTAAGACTTGCTGCTGCTCCACTTGGCTAACGTAGACAAACAGAACAGCCAGAGTTTGAGTAGATGCTGAAAAGGAAGAGTTTGCTTTAGGAGGCGCTGGGGTTCCCACATGCCTCGCTCTCTTGGGTGCAGTGCAGCACCCCAGGTTGGCCTGTTGATGCAGCACGTGTGCCACGTGTGTGGGATGCCCTGTGGTCGGGGTGACTCGCTGGGCAGCTCGAGGCTGGGATGCACGTGTGCAGGAAATGTGCAACTCTTGGGATCTCTGTTACCGTGGAACAAAGCGGGTTGCTCGTGGGAAGCAGCCGTGGTGCTGGGAGCGCTTTGACGTGAGGCAGCTCCTGTGGTGGAGGGTGGTTGGGGGAGCCAGAAGGCTGATAAAGTCTCTCCAGCTGGTGTTAAATACGCGTCTCTGGTCCGTTTTCCCTCTGTCCCTCACGCCATCAGTGGAAATGGAAGTGGGTGCAAGCTTTCTCTTTATTTTTTTAACTGTCTTCAGATTTTAATGTTGCCTTTTGTGTAATTTAATCCCATTATGTTATTTAATTGTTACTGCAATATTAACTACTGTATTTGTTGACTTTGTTTAATAACTGTTCTTTCAGGGCTAGAAATAAACTTCTACAAAAAAAATAAATCTTTTTCCTCCCTTTCCCTGTGCCTTCTAAGACAAGAGTAGCTGGAAAAAGTAAATGTTTGGAGGTCTTTAATGAGATTAGCAGAATGTGTTGGTTTGTAATTGAGCTTTAATGGTGGCGGATGTAATTTTATGCTATAGTAGCCTGTTCTGTTTCTTTTTCAATGTTATTACTCAGCAGCTTCACATGCACCTATCCCTGCATGCTGCACCTCCTGCTCCCTGCTCTGGAGTAGCGTATGGGAGAGAGGAGCTCTTCATCCATCACTGAAGAGAGATCCTGTGCTCTGTTTGCAAGTGGAGCAAAGCAGCAGCCTAGCTGGTCATCACTGCATCTTCCACTGTTGCTCACATTTGTGGTTGGAATCATGAAAGTGCAGGCCAGTTAAAGAAGAGGACATTGAAATGAGCTTCTCTTGGGCTTAGGATTGGTTCATTTGAAATCTGGATGATGTTTCTGGCTTGGCTGTGGATTTCAAAGTACCACACTGTGCATTTCCTGTGTGTTGTTGGGAAACCACCTTGTTCCCTTTCTGACATGTTATGTGAACCTTGCTCATACTGTTGACAGAGGAAAGTGAAGAAACAGTCTGACTTTGGAAATGTTTTCAGCTAGACAAGAAATGCTCTTAGCTGATGTTAGCATTGATTTATGGTGGAAACACCTGACAGGAGGAGAGAAGGTGCTTTGCAGAACTAATTCAGCTGGATATTGGCACTTAAGTTGCTTGGAGGTGAGCAGGATTTTGGCTTGGTTTTGGTTTGCACAGGTTGAAACTTCCTTATCCCTGCTTGATAAATCCAAGTGAGGATTGTAAGAACTTGTTTTTCACTTTCTTACACGTGGCCTTGACTAAAAGCAGCAACCACCCATTGTTTGGTCATCAATTCTTTACCTATTGGATATTTTAATTGCTGTGCATCAGGTTAAAGCTGTAAAGTTGGGGAAGATGTCTTGCAGTTCAGTTGCAATGGATTAAAGCACAGAGCTGAGCACAGTTCTTTGAGCCACACCAGCAGCATGCTTGTTAAACACAGGATGGCTGAAAAACAAGCTTCACTCCCAGTGAGAGTTTCCTGCAGTGCCGTGAGGAGCAGCGCTGGGTTTTGCTGTGCTTCGTGGGACTGGTGGACAAGCACAGCACTCTGCATGCTCCCAGCAACCTGCACTGCTGCATTTCTCCTTGTTTTGCAACCTGCACTTTGCTATGAAGATGGTTTGTAGTGAAAATAACTGTCCCAGCAGTATCTTGCAGACCTCAGTTGTGTGGGAACGGGATGTGAGATGCAAGCTCAGCTAAACCATTGGCTGTGCAGAGGAGGAGGGTTTCTTGAAGATCTCCCCTTGCTTTGAACTATATGGAAACTTCTCAAACAAGTAACAACAGTGAATTTTCTCCTTACAGTCTGTAGCAAGGGAGAAGAGCAGCAGAGATAGAGCTTCTCATGCTGTTGTTCCCCCACTGTAGTGGTGGCATTGCTTTTTCCCTTTCCTACCCACCTGTTGGTGCCTGCAGGGAGAACATCTTCCAGCACATCGTAACTGCATTTCAATTGATTGTATTGATCTGATTACTGAAACAGGCTGGACTTAATGAGAAAATTAATCGTTAAGATAGGAAAAGTCAGGTCTAACCAAGTGATGTGGAGATGCATCAAGTGAGTAGGAGGGAGGATGGGACTGGAGGAGCAGAAGCAGTGCAACTCAGTGCCCAGCCTCGAGATCCTGGTGCTTTCTGAACAGCTCGAGAGCAATGAATCCAGCTTGGTACAACAGCACAGCAAAAGAGAAGATGCTGATGTGACATGGCAGCATGATGGCACCGTGATGCCCAGCTGCTCTCTCAAGGCTGAGTTAAGCATTGCACAGTTGCAGGATATGCCACAGCCATAGTTACAGATGGTGGATGGGAAATTGGGTTTGGATATCTTGAGCGGTTCTTACAATGCTAGGATTTTCACTGAGCAAAAAAAAAAGTTATGAGTCTTTTGAAGCATGTTTTACCTTTCTGTATTTGGGCAGGGCGTGCTCATATTAGGCCAAAGGTGCACACTTGTGTTCTGTTGGGAGAAATAGGTTAAAAACTGAATGGTGATGTGTTTTGAGGCAGGGTGACCGCAGCCTAACAGTTTTGGATAGGAGGGTTTGGAGGAGAAGTTGCTGATGGTGGCTTGGGCTTCCCAAGGTTCCAAATGCAAGCACTGTGTGCTGCCCTTACCAGGAAGCTTCCCAAAACCACCACTGGGTGAGCACCTGGGGGAATGAACGTCCTGAGGAAGGAAAGCAGCACTGGTTCTCATCATACAGGCACGCTTACCCCTGTGGTGAGGAGTGAGCTGCTGTTCCCACTGTCAGGATGGGAAATGTGGGCAGAACCCAAGAAGCACTGCCATTATCTGGTGGTGACAGCAGTTCTGTCAATGCAGCTGGGAGAGATCCCATCCAGCAGAAGGAGCTTGAAATGTCCCTGCCACTAAAACCCACCTGTGGGCGCACACTGAGTGCAGCCAGTGCCAGTAGCACACACTGTGAGGTCCCAATGGCAACAAGGACAGGGAACAGTATGCCAGCCAGGCTCTCGTGTTGGCTGAAGGAAGGCTCTACTGAGCCCCCGGGCACCCTAAATAGAGGTGCAGGGAAACCATGGAGTCAGCTTTGCTCCAGTTCTTGTTAAAAATACAGAGCTGGGGAACAAAGGATTTTTTTCTTTTTTGGAAGAGACCTGAAGAAATAGCCTGGAAGAGGCGGTTAGAGGGGAGCAGGGATGTGTGCTGGCACCCTCAAATAGCTGAGCTGCAGCCCAGTGCTTGGTAAATGGCACAGCAGCAGGCAGAGCTGGGTGGCAAGGATGGCAAGCGACATTTTGAAAGACAGGAGCAGCTTTGGGCAGCACTTGTCCCTGTGCCTCCTGCAGCTCACATGTGTGGTGTTTCCCAAAGCCTCCTGGCCGCTGGGCAGGTGCCACGTTTGCTTTTGCACGACCTTATAAAACAGAGGCTTGGAGGCTTTTCTGCTTCTCCCCGGGGCTGAAAGCTGCGTGGCTCTGCCTCGCCCTCATGCACCTTTCGCTATGGCCGGCCTGAACGTTTCCATCGCCTTTTTCTTCCTGGTGCTTGGCACGTGTGAGGCGCTCAGGCGGCTCTCCAAGAGGCTGCTGGCCCCGGGGCTGTTGGGGAGCCTGGCTGCAGAGCTGGCTGGCTCACTACAGCTGTGCTCGGGCTGCCTGGAGCTGAGGATGCTGATGGAGATCGGCCCGTGGGGCGGCCTCGGCCCCGACGTGGTCCTGACTCTGCTCTTCCTCCTCTTTGCGGTTCACACCGCCGGCGCAAATGGAGCAGCTGCCAACCCCACCATCTCTCTCCAGGAGTTCCTTCTCTTCGAACACGGCTCCGTGGCTACTGTGGCCAAACTACTGGCCCAGTGTGCGGGTGCAGGGATGGGCTGGGCCCTCACCAAGCTCTACTGGTCCTGGGAGCTGACGCAGCTCCACCTCTTCCAGAACATCATGGCTTCTGAGTGCAGCTCCTCCATCCACACGTCCCCCCACCTCGGAGCTCTGGTGGAGGCCGCCTGCTCCTTCTTCTTCCACCTCATCCTCCTCAGGACGCGCCGCAGCCCTGCCGTGTGCCGAGTGCCTGTCCTGGCAGCCACTGTCACCTTCCTGACCTACGTAGGTGAGTGCACCCCTTCCTTCCCCTGCAGCCTGGTTTATGGGGAGGAGCAGCCCCTCTTCCCTCCTGCAGGACTCAAGCTGAGAGGGGATGACTGCTGCAACATTTGTTTTCTACTTACTTTGGCATCTGGGCAGCAGGTGATGTGTTGGCACATGGCAGGATGCTGACAGCCCTGCTTTCCTCCCCATGCAGCCGCACCGGCCACGGGAGCCTTCTTCAACCCTGCCCTGGCCACTGCCAGCACCTTCCTGTGCGCGGGGAGCAGCCTGCGGGACTACATCCAGGTGTACTGGCTGGGGCCCCTCACAGGTGAGCTGTGTCAGGAGTGGGTCCCACTGTCCAAATGCTTCCCAGCAAAGAGCTGACAGCCCTTCTGGGTCACTGTAAGCCTCGTGTAGTGAGGGTGCATGCACACGAGAAGGCACGCTCTTGTTTCAGGGATGCTCGCCGCCCTCTTGCTCTACCAAGGCAACATCCCAAGGTTCTTCCAAAAAAACCTGCTGTATGGCCAGAAGAGCAAATACAAGATACCCAAGGCCAGGGTGACACATGCAGAAGATGGAGAGCAGCGGCAGACAGGGAAAGGAGAGAAGAGCAACCCAACGCCTCGTGCCTGAGCCCCTTCTGCTGGGAGCAGTTCTGGCATGGAGCATTTTGTACACTCTAAAAGCCTACAATGCCAGCCGTGGGGGGGAAACTAATGTGTTTGCAGAAATTACTGGTTGTCTGGTGTACGCAGGAAGCTTGCAGAAACTCAGGACCATTGCGTGGGCATGCTTGGGCAACTCCCAGGTGGTTGCATCATGCCATGGTTGAAATAATCCGTGTGCGTCTCTTACAGCCATAAAAACAGTGTAATAAGTCTTGGAGAGTTGGGATGAGGAGGAAACTATCTGTAATGTTTGGCATTATTTGAGCTCAACCGAGGTCCCTGAATCGCACAGCTCAGGGACGCGTCTTTAAAATAGTCTGAAATTCACAGCAGCAGGGCACAGCACGCCCTGCTCCCCCAGTGTGATTCTTAGCCTGTGTTTTGCATGCAGCTGGGGAGCTGCAAGGTGACAATAATGGGTTCATAAAGCATCTTTGGTTAAAATATGTGGCTGTGGTATGCGGTGCAGGTGGGTGTTTGCATGCAGACCCCCCCCCAGTCCCAGCCCTGGGCTGCTCTCTGTGGCTATGTGAAATGTCTCTGCTAACACAGTGCTCTGTGAAATAAACGTTACAGTTGGCACTAAGGCAAGTGGTGTCACTCCTCCAGAAATTGAAGAAATCTGCTTGGGGAAAAGGGAGGGAGATTTTTTCCTTTCCCAGTATCTCTGGATGTGGAATTCCTGGTGACCTTCATGGGAGCCCAAGCATGGGCTGAAGGAGACTTGCTCCTTCCTTCAGCAGGAGGCAGGATCCAGCCCTGATTAGCTGAGAGGCAATCAGAGTAACGAAGCGGCACCCAGCTGCAGTGATAGTGACAGATGTGGGTTTGGTACCCAGGTGTGTGGTGTGCCCTCCCTTACTCTCCTGCTGGACACAGAGACCCTCAAGGTTCCCTGTCCAATCGGTTGTGGGGAACTCAGATCCTCCACCTGTTTTTTTTCTGAGCAACTTTTGGTTTGGAAATCGTGCAGAAAATGGGGCAGTTTCAGGATCTCTCCATTTTGATCAAGATGAAAAATCCTGATTTGTACTGAGGTTATTTCAGATCTAAGCTATGGAGCCTAGAGCAAAGACACCGAGGCTCTGGGTAAGCATTTAGGGATGGGGTTCATTTATTGTCTGAACTGATTTGCTGGTCCTGCTTTTTCCTTGAATGCCTCACCATGACTGATGCTTGTATATTTTTTCCCTGGGCAGAGCACGGAGCACTCCTAGAGCTGCTCCAAGCAGAGGGCTGGGATGTCTGGCACAGAGATGCTCATGCAACCCTTTTGTTTTTCCCACGGAGGTGTCTTTTTGTTGGGCTGCTGAGATCATCAACCATAATGAAGGGGAGTTTAATAGGAGTGACAGTGAACACTGTTGTTTTTAATTAAGAGGTTGCTCCCCCAGCATTGAGGCGCGGTGGAGGAGAGATGCAGCTGGACAGACGGAAGCGTCCCGAGGTGTAAATGAAGCCCTGATGGACAGCCTGGCCCCTTCACCACCTCCAGCTGCAGCCTGTTTTGCCTCCTGGCATCGTGACTGCTTAGTGTCCCATTTCTGCTGAGTCCTCTCACTGTGAGACAAGCAGCCTCAGTGCTGCCATCCTCATTCTCTGCATCCCCTCCTCCTCCTATGGAGGCTGGGGTTCGTCCTTGCTGGCTCAGGAATGACCTCAGAGGAGTCCAAGTGAGGTAAGTCCTTAGGCCCCCCGTGGGGCCTGCTCTAGGGGCTCTGCAGACCTCATATCCCACCTGAGCTGCGCCATGGTAGCAGTGACCCCAGAGCCCAGGGGTGGGTGGTTGGCCGGCCTCAGCTGAGGGAGCTGGAGAACGAGGCCGGGACGGGGGCTCAGTGCCGGGTGCCCTCCAGCCTGTACCGCACGGCTTTACCCTGCTGCATGCCCTGCAGCGAGGGAGCCAGCTGAGGGGGCTTCTGGAGGGGTCTCTGGGGGGTATTCTGTGGGGGATTTGGGGGAAACTGCTTCTTGTAGAGAGCAGTGCTGTACTGCAGCTCTGGGGTCACCAGGCGCCGGCACATGCGCTCCGTCGCCTCGTCCAAGCCCTGCTTGAGGTTATAGCCCAAGATCCTGGCGTTGCCATACTGCAGCGGCCTCAGGGAGGAGTCCTTGATTTCCTTTGGGCCCACGCTGCCCGTCCCTTGCAGGCAGGTCCTCGCCAGCTCTGCTTGCCTCTGTCGCAGCGCCCTGACCTCGTGCCACATGCGCTCCCTCCCGATGTCCCGCTCGATCCTCTCCCAAAAGGTCCTATTGAAGTGGATGTAGATTTCCCAGTCTAGCCTGTTCCAGGCCTTTATCTTCTCAGCTATGACGCTAGAGAGCGGGGACCTGGTGCTGCTGTCCCTGCTGTTGAGTGGGAAGGACACGACGCTGTCCAGGTCCCAGCACAGCGTCTCCTTCAGCAGCACCATGGACTCGTCGAAGTACTCTGAGATGAGCAGCAAGTCAAAGGACGCCTCGATGGCTCTCAGCATTAAGTTCACCCTCTTGGCCGTGACCTCCGCGTCGGGGTTGAAGCCGAAGTCAAAGGTCATGAGGTTCCTGGCGTAATGGCTGTCACCGGCCTTGGGGTCGTAGAAGCGGTAGGGCTGGCTGAGGAACTCCTCCAGGCTGCGGGCGCGGGAGAAGGCTGACGTGCCCTTGTAGTACACAAAGGAGGACTCCATGAGCTGCACGGGGTTCCTCAGGATGGAGAAGTAGACGGCTGTGCTGGGCACCACTTTCTGTACCTGCAGAGAGAGAAAAAAAATGGAGTTTTAAAGGTGGGGAAGGGTAAAGGGACCTGCTTGCTGGAAAAGCAGAAAGGGTTTCATCAAGTTTGTCTACAGAAGCCCTCAGGAGATGCACGAGGAGGGCCATGAAGATGCTCAGAGGGCTGGAGCACCTCCCCCACAAAGACAAGCTGAGGGAGGTGGGCTTCTTCAGACTGGAGAAGAGAAGGCTGCAGGGAGACCTTGTTATGGTCTTCCATCGTTCGAAGGGAGATTGTGAACAGGAGAAAAATCAACTCTTTGCATGGGTAGATAATGAGATTGTGAACAGGAGAAAAATCAACTCTTTGCATGGGTAGATAATGAAGAACAGGAGGAAATGATTTTAAACTAAAGGAGGGGAGATTTAGATTAGATATCAGGGGAAGGTTTTTCCCTGAGAGAGTGGTGAGGCCCTGGCACAGTCTGCCCAGGGAAGCTTTGATGCCCCATCCCTGGAGGTGTTCAGCACCAGGTTGGATGAGGCCATAAGGAACCCGATCTAGTGCTCGACCTAGCAGTTGGTGACTCAGCCTATGGCAGGGGATTGGAACTAGACGATCTTTGAGGTCCCTTCCAACTCAAGCTGTTCTACAATTCTGTGATCTTTGAATGCCTCCATGCTTTCCTGGTACCCCACCTTGCTCCTGCCCCACACCCAAGGCCCGGAGGCTGTGCCCCTTACCTCGGGCCGCAGGAAGCGCATGTGGTGGCACAGTATGTTGAACTGAGGAGGCTTCCTAGGGGAGAAGCCCTGCACGAACCTCGCCATGAAGTGGTGTGGGTAGAAGAGCTGGTGGCCGCCCCTGAGCGGGAAGGCAAAGGTGAGGTTGTGCATCTCACCAAAGCGGAAGAGGACGTTCATGACAGTGCTGCTGGCGCTCTTGTGGACCTTCAGGAAAACGATGTTGGTCTTGGGTTTGCACACTTTCTGAAAGAAGGCGTCTTCTACCTGCCCACCATCCCCTAGGGCCATCACATCCATCACATCTGTAGAGATTTCTGTCCAGCTCGGGAGCAGTCCTCCTTCCAGCTCTGTCCTGTAGAAGTCATCTGCCCTCAGGAGCTGAGCTGTATCGAGCACGGGGTGTTTGACTGAGTCACCCCAAGGTTGGGGTGGAGAACCCATGGCTTGATGCTGAGGTGGGCTCTGCAACGTCACCCGCATCATCTGGGGTGTTGTTATTTTCTTGTGCTCCTCTGCAGCAATGCTGTTTGTGAAGAGGACATCAGTATCTGCTAGAGCTGTGGTGGCACTTTCAGGAACACCTGGAAATATATCCCCTGTGCTTGCTTTTCTGGGGCTGGAGAGTTGGGATTTCAGCTGCGGGGCCGAAAGATGGGCTTTCATCTTGCTGCTCTCTGCAGGCTGCCAAGCCCAGTGAACCTCTTGTTTGTCTGGGTTGCTCTTCTGTGGTGTCACCCGTCTGTGGTAAAGGTGCATCTGGAAACCACGCCGCGTGTTCTCAGAGGGCTGCCTGTATGGGTGATCATCCTCCCTTGGCATGCCGTGGCTCTGGAGGACATAGTCAGGGCTCTCCTGGCTGTGGTCTGTGGTCTGCTGCAGGGCGCGCTCCAGCTCACAGTGACAGTTCCTGCAAAAGGGTGAAGATGAACCGGCAGCAGGAGGTATGGGATCCCTGCTAGGAGCACTGAGTGTGCTGTTGGGCTGAGCTGGGGCAATGGCCAGGTTGCTCTAACTGTTTTCTGCTGTCTGGGAATCGCCCTGCCCTCCACTGTTCTGCACAAGTGTATGGGGAGCTTCTCCTGCCTGCTGCAGGAAGAGTAGCCACCAGTCCTATGGGAGTGGGGCTGGTAATCAACTCAAAGGAGCAGGGGAGGGAGGGAGGGAGCATGCAAGGAGGGCAGTTCCTCTGCAGCTGTCCCAGAGCAATGCTCCTCTTTCTCTATTCAGGGTGGGCAGCACTGCTGCTGGATGTAGAGCTTAATCACGTGGCACGACCAGCCTGGCAGGTCGGGGTGGATGCAGGATGTGAAGGTCTTTCAACATCAACATTGCCATGCCCTGCTGCACTGGAGGGAAGGAGCAAAGCCTGCATCCTGTAGAGTTCTGAGGCCAGACAAGACAAAGCCTGGAGCAGCCTTGTTTGACCTCAGATGCTCTGAGCAGGATGCAGGGGTTGGATGAGAGAGCCCCAGTGGAGTTGTTTCCCACCCAGATTTTCCTGTGCTCTTGGTTGGGTGTGTTTTAACCCCTATCAGTCACTGGTGAAGGGCTGGAGGATGAGGTGCAGGTTTGCCCTTCTATCTGGGACATACCTGGTAGGCTGCAGCTTCTCCACAACTTGAAACGAGACCATGAGGAGGATGAGGAGGCTGAAGGAGACCCAGAGGCGACCTGGCTGGCACCTGTATATTGCCTTCAGGTTCCTGCAGGGAAGCAGACATTTCAGACTACTCACTGCATCACATGGAGGAAGAAATACATTAGGCACAAGGCAGAGGGAAAAGAGACCTCAAGGCTTCCCCGCGACATCCATCAGAAATTAGTAGTCTTCTGTTTATTTTTTATTTATTTTTATCTAGCTTTAAGGTCATTTTCCATGGGTGGAAGAGGTGTCGAGACAGCGATAACCAATGGACATCAACAGCTGTGCTTGAGTAGTGGAGCCTAGTGGAAATTTCCAGCCAGGACACAGA